GACATGTTATTAAGTGCAGAAGAATGACAATTGGTTTTCTGCTAACAAGTTAGCAATGACAAAGGGGAACCTAAACCAATTACTGAGCAAATATCTAATCTAGAAAGTGTCTCAAAAGAGTCCTGGGTCATCACCATCAATTTTAAGCAAAAATGGAATTCTAGAGCTTTACTTCTTTTATCTTTGGAAACCCATCCAAGAGTGTGGTTAACCCTTAGTTCGTTCCTTAACAGAGATGGCATGTTTCAAGAGGTTTTAGAAACATCACCGTGATGATCTGACTAGGATTATGATTGAAAGCTTTTCAGTTAATTAATACTGCTGAACAGCTGCATCGTATACATGGAGAGGGGTGGGCTCAAGCCTGGCTACACATTGAGCTGCTTACACAGGATTCCATGGAATGCTAACAATCACTCACATCACCAGAATTCTCACCCCCATGATGACTGGTCCACTCTTGCCTTGATCCAAATTTAATTTTGCCTCCTTAGTATGATGCTAGTTCATATTCACTGGCTGAATATTTATAGCAAAAAACAAAAAAGGAAATAGAATGAAGTCTGGAGTGTCTGGTCTCTAGGATGCCATTATATGCCTTTCTTATACAATAGAAAGTGAAGGAAGTTTCACATTTGAGATACTTGTTGAAGTATTTAGTGCTATGGTTTGAATTTTAAATGTTTCTCAAAAACCCGCGTGCAAAGGTGCTGTTGGGAGGCTGTGGGCCCTGTATGAGTTGGGACCTTGTGTGAGGAGGTGGGTCATTGCAGAATTACCTTTGAAGAAGGAAGGGATAGTGGGGTCTCCACCTCTTGTTCCTGTTTTTTTTTTTTTTCACTATGAAGTAAGCATTCACCACGAGGTTCCTATCATGATGTCCAGTCTCACTAGGAGCACAAAGCAACAGAACTAAGCCAACAAGGATCTCCACTTCTGAAACCATAGTCAAAACATATCTTCCCACCTTTGCAGTTAATTTTCTCAGGTAATTTTTGTTTTCACTGTGATAGAAAGCGGACACATTTAGGGTCAAATGTCTTGGTGTTTGGAATTTGCCTCTAAGTGGTTTAGTTAAATAACTTATGTGGCATGAGGGAGAGAAGAGGTAGAGAGGAGAGAGAGGGGGGCGACGGAGAGAGAAAAGGGGGGAGGGAGATGGAAGAATGTAGAGAGAGAAAAGAAGACAGAAAAAAGTGTGAGGGCCAAAGGGAGCAAGAACAAGACCCCGACAGGAGGAAACGCCAGTGTGGCAGTGTGTGGACAATGACAATGGGCATTTATTTTACAGTTCCTTATGTTTCCTTTTGCATTTGGAAAAATTTCAGTATAAAGTCATTTAAGAAGTTATTATCTATGTGAGGAAGAACTTGAATGTCATTTGTGACTTTGATAAGGCAAAGATGACCTAAGAAGATGAAAGTTTGTCTTCATCGTGTTCATTACAGTTTCTATGGTTTGCCATTGTCAACGATTAAAAAAAAATCTGGATTTACAAAATAGTTGAGTAGGTAAGTGCACCCATTTTCAGGCACTCACTCTCTCCTCCTAGGTTTTGATTATAAACATATTAGTGTGGCCCACTTGTTACAATTGGCAGGCCCACGTAGATGCCGTTTAAAGAGAGCCCAAAGTTTAACTGGGTCTGGACAAATGTGTGATGTGCATATGACCACTGTGGTGTCACCTCCAGTGTAACTACTTTGTCCAAATGGTCTGAGCTGGATCTATTTAGTCTTTGCTTTTCTACTTCCCCTGACCCCTGGCAACTACTGAGCTTATGCTCTCCCTATTTTTAACTTTTTCAGAATGTCACATTTTCAGAATCATGTAAAACATAGGTTTTCTTTTCTCTTTTTCCCAACTGGCTTCTCTTATTTAAGTGTGAGTGGTTTTATTATTTTTTTTTGTGGTGCCATTGGTCACTTTTTCTTCTTGTGGAATAATATTCCATTACAAGGACACACCATTGGCTACTTTCCAAACAAGGATATTTTAGTTTCTTTCAGTATTTAGTGATTATGATTAAACATTTAAACATATGTTTTAAGATTTTAAAAATGATTTGTTTTTATTTTATGAGTATGTGTGTATGACTGACTGTACATACGTGTACCATGTGCATACAGTTCCTATAGCAGCCAGGAGAGGGTATCTGATCTCCTGGAGTTGGAGTTACAGATGCTTGTGAGCTGCTGTATGGGTGCTGGGAACTAATCCCCTGTCTTCTGCAAGAGCAGCAAGTGCTCTTAACCATCAAGCCATCTCTCCAGCCCAAGGTGTGACTTTTATGTGCATTTGTATAAATTTTAATTCCATTGAATAAATTTCTAAAAACATGTTTGCTGGATCCTATGGAAAAATTAGTCTTTGCCTTGTATGAAACTGCCAAATTGTCCCCCAAAGTGGCAGTTCCATTTTGCATTCCCACCAGCAGTGAATGAGCAGCCCTGTGGCTCTGTGTCCTTGCCAACATTTGGCCTTGCTGCAATTTTGGATTTCAGTCAATCCAGTATGTATGCTGTGCTATTTAATTTGTGTTTTTATTTATAACTCCCTAATGGCATATTTGGGGGGGAGCCTATGCCTATTCGATCCCCATATTTTCCCATGCCCACGTTGACAAAAGGTTTGTTCAGATATATTGCTCATTTTTTAACCCCGTACATTGTTTTCTTACAGAGATTTCAGCAGTTTTTTTGTAACATGGGTCTTTTCATGAGTAAGTCCAATGGGAGACTCAGTCATGAATTCACTTATTTAGCAACTTTGGCAGGTACTGGCTGTACATAGGTTCTGCATACTTTTTCTCTTCTACTAACAGAAACTGGAGGTCTTTCTGTCTTCAAATACATAACACTTTTGACTCCTTTGTAGCCATGGGTCTGGTGGGACTTCCTGGAAAGACTGTTAAAAGGAGTAGAACCCCGCTGGCATGGAAATCACTGATCTTTTGCCCTATGTCTGTCCATCTACCATTTCCCTGAATGTGAAGCAATGTCTAGAGGACCCATCTTGTGAAGATGACGGCAAACGTCACATGACAAGGGACACATTACTAGTGACTCTAAAAAGTCGCTAGTGATTCCCTGGAGATGCTGCAGGAGTGCTAGTGCTTGCTCCAGGCTTCTTGTTTAGAGATGTAGTGAAGCTGAAATACTTTCAGTATGCTGTGGACATGATGCGAACGGTAAGTGATATGCACTACATGCTCAGTCCGACAGTATAAGGTATCCCACTGGATGGGAGCAGAGAATAAAGTGAGGTCTTCCCTGGGAAGCTGAGCTCTAGTGATGTGGATGTAGCAAATGCCAACATTTCAGAACCAGGCAGTTAGGGAGCACGGTGTATTCAAAGTGAGTCCAGAGGCAGCTTAGATAAAGCAAGGGTTACTGAAGAAGGAGAACTGGGGGAAATGTAACGAGCAACCACAAGAAAGACATTCTGGGTATCATATACCTCCAGAGTTTTGAGTTCTTGATCAATGGCCTAAATATACACATGGCAGCCATTCCCCTGGGTAAGAGTAGATGAAAAGGAGAAAAGACAATTTTAGTCTGAATGTCAATTCTTCTCTGGGCTGGGCATAAATTTATCATCCCAGTGCCAATGTTTAGACTACAGAGGAACTAAAATCTTATTTACCTGCATATTCCACATTGCTATGTTATGGAAACTGGGGATAGAGTTTTTAAAATGCTTTGAAAGCAATGTAGATTTTGTGAATAGTGCATTTTTTTTTTTTTTTTTTTACTGTCTTTGTGACGGCGTGAACTCTGCTGACATCTCTATCAACAGGTATTTACTAGTGGCTGATTGGTCACATGCCTTAACGACAACCTGAATCAGTTTTTCTTGAGCTCTTTATTGGGATTCAATTGGTTCTCTCTCTCTCTCTCTCTCTCTCTCTCTCTCTCTCTCTCTCTGTATAAAACTGTTTCCATTTTGTAATATGAATTGTAAATAAAAACAGAAGACATGTGTGATATTTCTGTTTGTAAAGCTCATTTGCTTTGGAACCTCGGAAAGCATACTGCCTTCTCTTTTATTTTCTTTTCTCCCTGTCTTGTCTATTTTCGCTTCAGTTATCTGACATCACCCGAGATCAGGATAAGTTGATAGTTCAAGACTATCCTATTTAATAGGCAGTGTGACTTTCCTCATAGGTGGGGGGAGTAGGATTTGGGAATGGGTGAAGACAGGGAAGAGGAATCTGTAGATGAAAAAGATGGGAGGGTTCTGAACAGATCTGACTGAGCGGGGGCTTAATGCCAACTGATGACAGGGCTATAATCCTCTCAGGCTTGGGTGAATGCTCAACCCTGCACGGTGTCTGAGGACTTACAGGTGGGTAACACAACCTGGGTCCGAAGCACTCAAGACACGGGTGAAGGTTAGGCTACAGGTGGTGACTCAAAGGGTCTGCAAGCAGAGGGATACCCAGGTATCCTGGTTCCCCCACCTTGGAGGAGGAGGAGGCCCGAGGAGGCACCGCCTCCTCCGCAGCGCCCCGCCCCCGCAGCGCCTACGCGGCCAGCTCCTGACCGCTCACCATTGGCCTCAGCGCTCGCCAATCCAGCCCCCTGGCCGCGAAGGGGGC